ACAAAGACAAACAGGGAGAAGGGCAGCATGTTCTTCCCCTTGCCCAAAAAGGTAAAGGATGCAGAAATGAGATCAAAGGGAACCCAGCGGAGAACTGCATGGAGAATGATGGGGAAGTAGTGCAGGGACCAGGGGACGCTGGTTGAGTATTAGCAACGGAGCACATAAAATTAAATCTCATCTTCCTGTTTATAATGGGAAGATGAAGGAGCAGATTTTTTTTTTACTATCCCTACTTGTAAAACACTTGCATGCTGTAAACATTTGTAAGCCATTAGCTAGAACCAACAGCACATGCTGTAACAACAAAAGCAAGGTTTGTTACAGCCATGGGAATTCTTTCCAGTGAAACCACAGAGAGGTAGGCGGGACAGGATCTCAGGGACCAGCTGAAGCATTACGAAGCAGGAAGGGCAGGTTCCCAAACATCCAAAGCTGTAGCAGGCGACTGTCAAACCCTTCCTAAAAGGGCCCTCAAGTCACAGGGAGTCTGTGACCTCCCAGAGTACACCTCTCAGAGTTAGGAAGCACCCCTCATATCTCCAATTGTTTTTGCTGAAATACAAACTGCACATGGAGATTACATGACATCAACAGTTCTCTTCTCTCAACCGTTTACATACTTGAATAATGTTTAAAAATATATTTGCCTCTATTGTTTGCCTAAACAAATTATTTCCTTCAAAGCTCTCTAGACCTGCCAAATTTCTTAAGACCTCTGTTACTGTCCTATAACAAACGCCTCCCGCCACTGCTCATTTTAAAATGCAGGGCCCAAAACAGGAACAGTGGGACCTAAAGGGAGGTACTATTACAAATTACAGCAAAGAAATGTTCTTTTCATCTCTTTCAGATGCTGTTAGCTCATTCCATTTGTAGTACACTATAAGCCCTATAATATTTGTCTTCTAATATCACTTACTCCCTGCTATGTACTTCTACATTTTGTGCTTCTAAACTGTAAGAGTCCATATTTATCTCTTAAATTTATTTTATTTTGAGAATTTTGGCAATTTATTTAATTTATCAGCTTATTTTGAAACAGTGTCCTATATAGTGAAGCGTTTATAGAGTTGGAATAGGAACCAAATCAACCCTCCACCCCCCACCCTCAAATTATTTCTACCCAGAGTTCACATAACAAATAACTCTGAATATTCATAAAGACTGGAGATATAGTAAAAAAATTTTATTTGTGGAAAACTCCCACCAATTGAATGGTTTTTTAATTAGACAAAAATCTAGTGAAAGAAAAAAAAAAACATCAACACCTACACAAAAAAGCAGACAAACACCTATTTTTATTTTGTTTTCAATAAAAACACAAGACAGATGGAATACTGAAACGACTTCATCTGATTAAAGCACAATGTTAAACAACAGCAGAAGCCATGGTAACACTATGTACTGCTCGTAATATACTGGCAGGTGAAAAGATAAACCATCTAGCAAGATAAGAGATACCTTTACTTCATATTTCAGAGATAACTGATCTATACCCTGTATCAGTTTCCTACAGGCCCCATTTTTCTTATCACTTTGTACGTCCCTGTATTTCTGTGCACATTAAAGAGTGTTGGAGGGATGGGAAAGCAACGTTGACTAAGATGTGTCAAAAGATGTACAGTATCAGCACAACAAAGAGAGGCCAAGAAAGCACGCCTGTGCGCTTCATTCACATAAACCCTTGACACCCAAGACAGTATTTCTTCCTTAGTCTGCAATTTCTAGTTACTAGATTGTTCTAGCTGCCCTATCTGTAGCTCTGACCCATATAAGCCTTTTAAGTTTCTTCCTAGTTAGGTGTGCTTGTGAGGTTTATCCCCGTATTTCTACTGAAAGAATCAAGAACACTTCACCTACCTCCATCTTCCCCCTCTACTCCTACATCCTTAAGTAATACATATTCACAGCAAATCAAGGAGGGGGAAAAAAAACCCCAAAACTCAGGAATCTCAAATTAGCCAACAGTCTGGTAACTAAGGCCCTCCTTCAGAAGCTAGAAAAATCTGAGCCTGATTTAATAACTCAAGATGACCTTCTATTTGTTTTGGTTTTCATATTCTTCACCTGAGCATCTGCAACAGCCATTGTCAGACATCAGCAAACTTTAGCCTCTAGCTTGACCCAGAATTGATATTTTTCTGTTCTCAAAAAAACAAACCAAACACATCTTCTAAACCAGAACCTGTTTCTAAAGAACACCACGTTACATTATGTGCAAAATCCGTCCTAGTTGAAATGCTATGAGAATGCTTATTGCACTGATCATTTCGGGGGGGGGGGAAAAAAAAAAAAAAAAAAAAAGAGATGAAGGAACACCTAGCTTGCAGATGCAAAGACTGAAAAGCAAATGAAAATCAAGCTGCTGAGCACAACAGAACTCAGTAGCAGGGGTAAGGGGAAAAACAAACCACAAGAATAATTTCAACACCACAATTATTTTCATATTTTATGAAGGAGAAGAAACTTTTTTTTAATAATGTAAACCTCAGATTTTACCCAGTTACATACATTCATTTTCACAATTTATACAATTATTGCATATGACCTGTGGTTGTTTACATCTTCCAGTACAAGTGACAGTAGGTACCACAATTTTTTATTAAATTCTAGTTACACTTTCAGTCAATTACACAAACGTGAAACAAGAACACGACTAAGATTATACCCTTCAGAAGGCTTTCTTCACATTTGTCCAGATGCAAAGATTGCATAACAGAGACTTTTGTGATGTTTATGATAATCCCACACCAACTTGTGTTGCTTTGGTAGATTGTAGTGGAATGTAGTGGCAAAAAAAAAAACAACAAACAAACAAAAAAAAAACCAACACTCCACAACCACACAACCTTAAGAAACAAACAAAAAACACCAACTTGCAGGTGGATAAGTACCAGCCGTTTCCTTTTTGGTGAGGCAAAGCTACTTCTCCAAGTGTTCAGAAAAGTGGAAAACAACAAAAAAATTTTCACTAGAAAGGTAAAATTAAGTATTTAACCTCTGTTAACAAGTGCCAATAAATGGATGTCAGTGATTACATCATGCTAGAAGGAGCAGAAACCATCCTGACTTAAGATACTGAAAAAAACAAACCCAAATCCAGAAAAACTGTGTGCTGATGCCTTTATCTCCTTGCCATGATGTGTGTTCTAAGTGCATGATGGAAAATAAGCATCGTAATGCCACTGAAACCAGTGCAAGTGAGTTATTAGGTGGATTATTCTGGAACAGAGATAAGAGACTGAACACAGACAAGAGCATGGCTTAAGAGGCAAGATTATAAAAACTAAAGAAAGATTCTTGGAGTGCCTTGGAGCTCAGTTCAGATTTGTTCTACACATGTACGCTGCAACACATTTTTTTTTTTCCACAGCACAAGGAAAATAAGCAGAAGATAAAGAAACAGACAAGAACCACCACACAGCTCCTAAACAGTGAGACAACAAGGCAGCAATATGCTTTTGAGCTCAAATGCACCATCATCTCGGACATTTTCCTCTTCCTAGTGCAGGAAAGAAATAAAAGACAGACAATAAAAAAAGAAGAGGAAAAGTATACAGGATGATTGTTTGGCACTTTTAAAATATGTTTTGTTTTCTAAAAAGGATCAAATAACTTATAAACAGTAGCAGCATTTTATGGCCAATTACCTTCCCCAAACCTTTATCAATGCCCAGATGATCAAAATATCTATTTTGGTGACAAATGTCTCAATGACAAGTCATTGCCCCAAAGGGTAGTTTCACTTTTACATACAAAAATAGCAGTTGGAATTGATTCTATTCTTCATAGTGATTTACTAGCTGTGTGACAAAGATTCAAACAAAACCACCTTTTTCAGAGGAATATTAAGGGTTAATGAAAAGTACATGGACATGGCTGTTAATTCTCCACTTTAGATTCATTGACAAAGTTGTTTACTGAAAAAGTATTCCCCAGGTGAAAGTTAGTGGTATACAGCATGCGGTCATTAAGCCATACAAGAATGTGATCTTGCAATACTGGTTGAGTTCTTTCAACTCCCACAGACTCAAACAAAAATTCGAGATGCTAAGCACTCTGATTATCCCATTCAACCTTTTTTTATCTCCCCCACTTTAACTGGGAGATTCACAGTGATCATGATGCTACATTCCAGCCAAAGTTCATTCCCCTCAGCTTTTTCATGGAATATGATACAGCGTAGAACAGGACTTGGAAGAAAGTAAAAGGAAGAGGTCCACTAAAAACCAACATGGGAATATTTACCCTAAAGGAGTGCTCAACTTTGCCACACTGAAAACCACAAACGCAATTGCTCCATTCAAAGTTATAACTGCTCTTGAAGTTACCAGCATGATGGAACCCGAGTGAACCCTAGATCAAAAACAAGGAAAAGGAGATGTGTGAAGTAGGTAGTCCCTGTCACTAAATTGAAATTGATTGTGTGTCTGACGTGATTAACTCCTGAAAATGTGGTAAGATATGCTGGTGTAACATTTCAATAAAAACAGTGTTGTCACTCTCACTACAAAAACTATTAAGGATTTTGTTCTGGTCCTGCCTCATCCATTCATGAATTGCAGGGCACAGCCCTTTCCACCCTCGCCTACCAGAAGACGTAGTTCCATTTTCTTGTGCTGAAAAAAGTAGCAGGCTTAGTGGTCAAGAAGTTCACGTTTTAAAGTGCACTGTCATTTTAAACACACTTTCCCTTCTTAAAAAAAAGGAAATAAAACATTCTGATAACAAGTTTATAAAAATAACAGCTGCGATAGTCCTCTAAAATTGCAACTTAAAATCAAGTCAAATTAGCAAGATTCAAATCTTTTTCAAAAAAAGATACGAACCAAAAAAATATAAAACCTCTTTCGGCAGAGAATTGCCAAGCAAAACCTCACATCCTAGAAGCCTCTCTCCTAACAGCACCTCACAGAAAATCCATTCAGTTTCTTCCAGCTGACAACCTCAAGAAAACAGAGGTCTAAATAAATCAGTCCTTCCCACTGGTCACCTACATAACTGCAGGTGTGGATGCTGGTGCAGTTTTTCCATCAGCTCTTCCTCTGTAGGTTCTTCCAAAACATCTCTACAAAGAAAAATCATGAGTTGTTAGGGGCAGCAAAGGGAACTTCTCAGCATTTGTTTTTGCAACGCACATACCGAGATGTAACGTGTGCTTGTTTCAAGAATGAAACAAGTAATTAAAGTTACAATAAGTTGATGCTCCCTAAAGATGCATCTACTTGCAAGTGATCCATCCTTTACAGATGGGTCATAGAAACCAGCAGCTGTTTTCCCATAAGAAGCAGGGAAGCAATTTCCTGCACACAGCACAATACAACTGAAGGTCAGTAGATGTGTTTTCCTGAAAAAACTCCCAAATGAGAACATGTTCCCAGTGCTACTATTGAATATCCAATGTGCACCAGAAGTTCCACTTGTGCTGGATCATCAAGTATCAACTCACCACCCACAATTTCATAATAAGCCAAGAACGTGCATCACTTCCCTCATCTTCCCTTTTTCTTCTCCCTCTCAGCACAGCCGTTCCCCCCCAACACCTCTTCTCCCATCACGCTATAGGCAGAAAGCATATAAAGGTTAAGCTACCAAGTCAGCTTAAAGCATGCCTACCTAGAGCACTTACTGAATTTTTCCATACTAACAGATGAAACAGTTTGCTTTACAGGGAGGAAATAAAAGACAGGTCTTTCACCCTCTCACAGCCAGCACACTTTCTTTAAAACAGATAGATGAACACCAAAACCTAAGATCGATTATCAAGCCCAGCTCAACTCACCTGAACATTAGTTCAACTGTCCTCTGGTACTCAATATCTGAAAGAGGCTCCCGATGACAGCGACGGTCCCACTTGTGAATAAAGTTCTGAAACGTAAAAGGAACAGGAAAAAAATTAAAAGCTACTAGTGACATTTTAAAAGAGGTTATATCAGGTCAATATGTTTGGGGGTAAGGTTTGAGAGGGAGGTGAGGTTTGTTTTTAATAGAGTGGCAGAGCAGTGATTTACTTGGCATCAGTGTATTTTTTGGCTGCAGGTCACTACTTTATCCAAGCCTGTTGCTTGGGAATGAAATAACTTTCTCATCACATACTGAAAGAACAGTAGAGCAGAAGACAGCTCTGCTGCACTCAGCTCCTAGCAAGGACTGCCTCCCCAAGATAACTGTGTGAACTACCCACAAGAGTTCACCTGCTTTGAACTTCTCCCTCTTTAAAAATCCAACAATATATAAACATATTCCTACGCCAGGCATCACAACTGAAACCCAGCTCCTGGTTTTGTCATGTTCCCTTATCCACTTCGAATTACTCTGACAAATAATACCTAGGGAGCAGACAGACAGCTCAGGCAGAAAAAAAAGCACAGGGTGGGAGTAGGGGGGTGTTGCAGAAAAATAGTGACATCCTGCTGTCCCACTACAGAATGCTACATCTTGGCTCTTACAGCAAACTTCAGCCACAGCCCTGTGGAAGTAAGCAGGTAGAAGACTTCATAGGATTAGCCTCCAGATAGAACAGAAAGTCTTTTCCAAAACACTCATGGGCAAGATTGAGGCTCAGCATAAGACTAAGTTTCTGTCTAAAAGTTTGTCACTCTGCTTAAAGTAGTAAATTTTACTTCTCAATGCAGTCAACAAGAGCATGTCCAAAAGAAGTTTTCCCAGGTTTTAAGATGTGGTGAAGTGCCCTCTACAGGTACTCAGTTTTTTCCACTATTTATAAGAGAAGTCTACAATGATTAACCTGGAGTAGATGGCTATGATGAACATTCCTTCCACCAACAAAAATTCAAAAGGTATTTGGATTTGCAGAGAAGTACACTGAGAAGTACAAGCAAGCTGTAGAACTACATGTTCTTCACAGCATTGCTTAGGTACCTACATTTCCACAGCTTCTTTAAGAAAGTCTAAAGGATGGTCTGTTCAAAATAAATAATCAGTTCTACTCTTCTAATGTGGAAGTGAATAAGGGTCATAACTCAAATTGGATGGGAAGAAACACAGGACAACCAAATAAAATAAAAATGTTAATTTTCAAGTATTAACTTCATTTGTTGAGAAATCAAAACGCAGAAACCTGCAGCTTGAATAACTAATGCTAAAGTTAAATGCTAATGTGCAAGAGACAAGTAATTTTATAATACTTAAAATATTTTTAATTTTTATAGATGGTGAGCTATAATGACAAGTGTACACACCCAATGAAATGTCAAGATTTGTGACAAAGTTTCAAGTAAAATATAAATTTGTTTAGGAAAAAGAAAATGCTTCCTCAGTATGTCAGGGGAAGGGAGGCAAGGAGAAAGACTAAGTACACACACACACACACCAAACCAACATATTTTTCCCAAAAAGTTGTCTGGGTTCTTTTCATTTCCCACACAAATCAGAACATGTCTTCAGGATCTAATACCAAATAAACACACTTCCTTACCTCTAGAAGTAAAGCTACGAAGAGATTAACCCAGATGACAGAGGAGATCAACCACCAAACTACAAAATAGATCTTTGCCCACCTGCAGATCAGATTAACAGACAATAAGTAAAGTAGGCAATAAATAACCTCAGCCTGAAAGTGACCGGAGAGAGCCATGAAATCACATTTCTCCTGGAAAGATAGTACTACTACTTTCTTAATGTAAAAGGAGCTCTGGAACAAAAACAAAACAAAAAAATCTTAGCCTTTCATTAAGTTAGCCAAACAGACTTGTTCTCCCCCACTTACCATATCCAATTAAACTCTGAAAGTGACAGAATCGCAGCCTAGCAGAAGTTGTACTGGATCACAGCAAAAGATTCATCTAGGCTAGTACCCCCTGAGAGCAGTCAAAAGTGGAAGCACAGGAAAGAGT